CCCCAAAACCCCAAAACCCCAAAACCCCAAAACCCCAAAACCCCAATGACACAGATTAATATTGATTTATTTATTACATCCCACCTCCAATGGATAGAGAGATTCCAAATGTAATTGGCTTCTCTGGCCTTTGGAAATCCATTGAAGTATTAAACATAGTCATAATCATTTGGTCCATCATCATTTGTATACTGCTAGACATTTTTAGCTGGCTGTTCATAGTTCCTGTGACCATTCCGGTGTTAAATCTGAGTTTGAATCCTAGAGCAGTCTCACTTTGTCCTTCAAATCCTCCTCTAAACTCGCTGAAAAGGTGGAGTTGCTTTGATGCTCTGTTAATATATCCTAGTGTGAAGGCATCTTTCTTGGCAATGGGAATATATTGTCCAATCAAAGTATGATTTCCTGTATTATACTTAAAGCCATAATTAAAAATGAAATCTCTAATCTGAGGATGCCACATTGCTTCGAATCCCCCGAATAAGTCGCGGTTGAATGTCTTCATCAGACTCAAACTGTAAGAACCTCCTCCTGTCTTTGCTGATACGTGGAAGTCCTTGAACTCCTTCATGATTTCGTATGAAATGTGGGATGCCTCCATGTTGTCATTTGGGAAGAACCCTTCAGCTTTAAAGATCAAATCCTTCAAGATGTGGTAGTTGGCGACCAGCTCCATCTTTCCGTTGATGTCTTTCTTGCAGTTGATGAAGTTCATTCCTTCTTGGTTGACCGGACTCATGTTTGGAGAGTACATTGTCATCAGAGAGAAGTTTGATGGCTTTGTGTTGGAGAAGTTCCATGTTCCTCCCAACTGGAATTTTTCAGATAGCCCCATCGAGAAGTCAAACCTAATTCCGTCCAAAGCCTCGCACGTTGTCAGCATTTTAATTGGAATGGTCAGCCTTGAGAATTGTGGAGGCTTCGGCAGTTTATTTTTGTTGCCAGCCTGCAGCATTCTCTCCATTTCTTCGGGGTCAGCCGCTGCAAAAGGATTCTCTTCTAAAATTTTCTGCAACTCGGCTTGTTCGTCTGCTGGCTTCGGAGGTCCTTGAGCCTGTGGAGGCGCCTGAGGGGGAACCTGGGGAGATCCAGGATCGCAGAGAGCCATCTTTGGTTTAGTGAAGAAGTAAGCAATAGGCATTCCAACAAGTCCAGCCTTGTGTAACATATTCATGGTTGATTTAATATATTATAAATTATTGACGGCTGCAATTTATTTGTTAAACAAGGGGTTTTGGGGTTTTGGGGTTTTGGGGTTTTGGGGTTTTGGGG